AGGCATTCTGGCAGTCTACATCCCAGCGGTATTCTCTTGCTTCCTCTGTAAGTCGCGTTAAGGGTTTAGCGATATCTGCAAACTTCTTAATAAACCTCCGGTAGTAAGTACACAGTCCCAGAAAACTTCTCACTTGATGTTTGTCAGTTGGTTTTGGCCATTCCTTAATAGAATCGATTTTTCCCTTATCCACGGCCACTCCTTCTTTACTGACTATATGACCCAGATAATTGACTTTACCTTGAAATAGCTGGCACTTCTTGGGGTTTAACATCAATTGGGCAGCTTTAAGTCGATTAAAAACGTTTTCTAAATTCTTCAGATGGTCTTCAAATGTCTCCCCCAAGACGATTATGTCGTCTAGATAAACTAGGCATGTTTTCCAAGATAACCCTCTCAACACATTTTCCATAAGCCTCTCAAATGTCGCAGGAGCGTTACAAAGTCCAAATGGCATAACGTTGAATTGCCATAATCCAGATCCTGTGGTGAAGGCTGTCTTTTCTTTATCTACCGGGTCCATTTCTACCTGCCAGTATCCAGACTTCAAATCCAAAGTAGAAAATAATTTACTTCCAGCCAATGTGTCTAATGTGTCATCGATCCGAGGCAGAGGATAACTATCTTTCTTGGTAACGTTGTTCAGCAAACGGTAATCCACACAGAACCTCGTTGTTCCGTCTTTCTTCTTAACCAGGACCACCGGAGAGACCCATGGGCTCGTAGAAGGTTCTATCACCCCGTCTTTCTTCATTTCCTGAACAATCGTTTCAGCTTCCTCTCTTTTCGCCTGTGGTAATCGTCGAGCTGTTTGACGAATTGGCTTAGCATTACCAGTATCAATTTTATGCTTAACAACGGTAGTTCTTCCCGTCTTTCCTCCTTTCGGTACGAAAATATCACGATACTGCCGAAGAAATTCCCTTAATTTCCTTTTCTCAATCTGATTCAGAGACTGTCCAGCAACCGCAACCATTTGATCAAATTTATCGTTGGAATTATCAGACGTTGTCGTCTGACGGATTATGGATGTGACAGGTACACAAGTTCCTACTTTTGTCTCTTTCTTGATGGTCACTGGGTAGTCATTGACATTAATAAGTCTCACAGGAATTTCTTTAGCCGAAGTCACTAATTCTTTTCCAATTATGATTCCACGGCCAACTTCGTCGTCATGATTCCAAGGCTCCATCATAACAGGTGTTCCTTCGTCCACAATTCCCTGTAGCCGCGCTACTATTATCGTTTCACTTCTCGCAGGCACGACTGTATCTTCTTTAACGGCTGCTTGCATAGTGTTGTCATCATGTGGATGGAGAAATACCTCCTCGTTACCAACTTTGATTACCTTATTCTTAAAATCCAATTGGAATCCATGCGTATTCATTACGTCCATTCCTAATATAACATCCTCTTCGATGTCAGCAACTATAACAGTATGGACGAACTTTTCTGCTCCAATTCCTAATTGTACCTGGATTTCTCCATGAATGTTGGCATTTTCACCTGTGGCGGTCCGAAGTCGCAACCTCGTTGGTAACAGTTTCTTTCGGCTGTTTATAACTGTCGGGCGTATAATGGTTCTGGTCGCTCCAGTATCCACCAACAACGTATGCTTTTTACCATTTATTTCTCCATCTACATATACACTATCTTCACGACATTTCAAAGAAGCTATTAGTATCAGAGGGTCTTTGGTAAAGTTCTGGGTCGAAGCTGCTCCCCTAAGGCCGACGCGTTTTGGTTTTGTCTTTGGTCTTATGGTCTTCGTTTTCTTGTGTGTCATGCTTTTTATCATATTAAAGAGCTGGTCAAGTTTATCTTCATCTCCTTCCTCTTTTACAGTCCTAACTTTGCTATACCCGCCAGAGGCCTGCGTAGCTGACTCGTATTCGAGGGCAGCAGATAAGACATCCATCAGCGTCTTGTGACGAGCTAATCGTAGTGTTCTTTGCATCTCATGATCACGAAGACCATCAATAAACGTTTGAACGGCCAACTTTTCCATCATGTCTTCGGGAGCTGTTGGATAAGCATATCGCACTAATCTGGCAATATCTACTTCATATTCTTGAAGAGCCTCATCTTTCTTTTGTCTTCGATTTTTGAGCTGCGACTGATATACATGCTCCAAGTGTTCGTGGCCATATCGCATATTTAACCTCTTCTTCAGTTGTTCGAAATCATCCGTCTCCTCTACGGCTATGGTCTGGAGCACATCTAAGGCATCTCCTCGAAGAGCGATAGTCAGGTTTACAGCCTTTTCTTTTTCACACCATCCATTCGCTCTTGCAGCTGATTCGAACTGTTTCATGTAGTTGTTCCATGATGATTTTCCGTCGAAAGTTGGGACTTTGACATGAACGGAACTTCCACTTCCTTCACATTTCGGCCGTGTTTCCAACTTACATTTCGTCTCGTCTTCTTTTGTCTCTATGGTAATTGGATTGTTTACTCTCTCTGTTGTTCCTGTTCCCTCAATCTTCCTTTCCAACTCTTTCCATATCTTCTCTTCGAAGGCCATCATATCGGCAGCAACTTGGTTTTTTAATGAAGACACTCTATCGTCGAGAGCAGACATCTCCGAAGTGACTTTAGAGATTTCCAAGGAGATGTTAGCAGAGACTTTGCTTTCTAGAGAAGAAATCTCGTTAGACACTTTGTCTTCTAAAGAGGCGATGTCGCCAGAAACTTTATTCTCTAATTTTGAAATTGACGCGATGACAGCATCTTCAAATATATAAGTTTCCGGATCTAAACCCTCTTCCTCCAAAGCATTCTTTAGTCGTTGGACTAACTCAGCCTTTTTTTCCGGTAGAAGCTAATTCTCTATCCTCAAGATGCCTTCTTAGATTCGTAACTGTGAGCTCGTAAATCGTAGCCATCGTTCACCAATTTCACTTCTTTTCAAAAATCAAATTAAATTTATCTACAATCCCACTTTTTCTGACACCACTGTGAAGTTTATATATTTATATAGTTCGAATTTATATGTCTTTATTCTAATTTATTGTCTATAATCTAATTTATTAAAACTCACGATAGCTAATTACTAATTTATTAAATAACTTTTACAAATGTATTTATTTTCACGTTTCGTACAAGTAAACCGCGTTTACCGATCTTCTTATGACTGCCTCGTCAATGAAAGTATTCCCTTATTTATATAATTCCAAGCCGGTAAACAGAAAGGTGTAGAACATACCATGCTGTTCTCGATGTAGACACAGCGGCGACTAGTCTCAAAACATGTTTTTTTTATCGGCTTGTCGCCCCCAGAACATTCGATTCAGGTAGATTTTTGACCTAGAAATTACGAGAATCAATAAAAGAATTAGTCATAAAATATTTACAGTTCTATATGCCATAACATTTAAAATCGTAACAATATATAAGTAAAGTCGTCCCAGGAGCACAACTTAACAATATTGGCAATATCATTTTAAAGTCGTCTACTTTAAAATGCATAATGTATGTCTGAATTTTCAATATGAATGAGTCAGATAAAATTAAATTATTAGAAGAATTTTTCACTATGTAACAAAAAACAAAATTTGTTTAAGTTACTGTTTGTATTTTAAGAACGATTTCCGAAGTGGAAATAGAAACGTTAATAAACGTATTTTTATCTTTAATTGTGGCATATTCCCAGTTAAATAGTAATTAATTTACAGTGCCACAAGAAAATAGCTTCAGAACAATATTTTAGTGATTGTTCTTATATTGTTTTCTCTTATTTCTTTTCTGATTGATCTATTAACTCTTTAGTATGTTGGCTTAGTTTTTCTTTATGGGTACGGGGTTCTTTATGAGGACAGTCGGGCAGCACTCCCTTTCCGCTTCTTTTAGCGGCATCGTTATGCCATTATTTGCTTGTTAAACATTTTATATGTTGTTTTATAAGTCTTATATGTATCTGGTTAGTGTACCTTCATACAGGTCGTTGTTTTTTGGAGGAATTTTGTTTTACTTTCATCTGGGCTTATCTATGTCCATTTGGTATGTGTCAGTTTTCTAAAAATTTTTACCCCATATTCCAAGTTGCGCAAAGCACGGTTAAAGGTTCTATCTGAACATAAATTAAACAATAGTAGGGGCAGCACACAACCCTACCTGACTTCCGTTAGAATCTTATACTTTTGACGCAATATAATTTTTCAATGAGCCTTATGTCGCGGCTATCAAATTATTTACCTCTTAAGCTCTAAATATTTTAATTAACTTCCATTACCTTTAATCAAATAAATGATTATGGATGTTAAACCTAAACAAAAAAGGATACAAAAATATTTTGTAGTAAAACTATATAATATATAGTTACAACAAAACTCGAACACAGATTGCCAAATATCATTGTAGAAGTTTAAAAAAGGGAAAGATATTTTTAAAATAAAGGTTAAATTAAATAAAACCAAATAATGAAAAGGTTGCCAATGTGAGGCCATAATACTAGTAAATGGAAAATCGGTCAAGAGTCAATCTTAACGAAGTACATAGGTCTTTGTTCTAACAAAACAAAAAAACAAAAATTGTAAGATTTTCTAAAATGTGACTAAACAATTAGTAAATAAAAACAAGCTAGAAGCAGTTGGTTAAAACTATAAGATTGTCAGTATTAACTTATCTCCTATACATTCGTGGACAAATTCGAATATAATTATAAGTTTGAATTGTTTCTAATTCCCTGTGTCTGATTCTTCTCGATCGACGATGATAAAATAAAGTCTTGAATAAAATTATTGCAAGCTTTACCTCAATAAATATTAGGCAATCTATAGTTTGTAGGAAGTTGACAAACTGTAATTAAGCTACTAATCGATATGTTTCACAATTATTATATATGGTGAACCATATAATTTCAGTAAATTATGATTAATATGAGATTTCAAATTGATTTCTAAAATGTGACTGAACAATTAGTAAATAAAAACAAGCTAGAAGCAGTTGGTTAATGTTTGTTGGTTACCTATAAAAATAACTGTTTTATTTTTTAATTCTAGGTTGATTTCTGCAAAGAATGAACACTTCTACCACCGTCAGATTCTTCTGCGCCGTTTTTTCGTTTCTCGTCATTTTAGCAGTGGTGTCTACAGCCCCTTACGCTGATTATGATAGTAAGTAGACATAAACTTTTTAAACGTAGTTGTAAACAAATAAGTTTTTTAACTACAAAAACCACTGATTTTTGTGGTCTTCACCTGGTCTTATTTCGCATTTTATTCCTCTATCACAACACAAACGCTTACGGCTTAGTATCATCCTGTATTACTTATATTTAAGTATTATTAATATATTTGAGATTGATTTTCTCCTCTATTATAAGAATGTGCTGATATAACAAAAATGTGGAGACTAGAGAACAAATTTTCATAATAAGGCAAATATTATACTAGTGCTATGATTTCGTTGCTTAACCCTTTCAGTCCCAGAGGTACTTGAACGTACCAGTAGCTGGAACCACCCTTATATTCCAGATATTGATATCATAGATAAAATACTTTTTTATTAACTAAAAGATCCTATAAACATTGTTTAATAAATTTTAAACAATTTAATTTTCATAATTGATGTGAATTTTTTTTACAAAGCCATTTACGTCAAAGTAACATTAGAGCTTATACCCTCTTTTTATCGGTTTTATCAGATTATATTGTTTAGTAGATGATCGGCCTGACACACATTTTCTGTCCACCACAATAATTACCAAATTGAGAATTTAGGCAATCCAGCAAAGGTTTAATTTTATATAACCGATCAGTATAATTTTTTGGTATTAGCGAGTTGTCGTTTACATACAAAAATTTTAAAATTGTATGTAACCTATTCCTTTGCATAGTTTCTGAAAAGTTCTTCCTTGGACATATTCAGTTGTTTTCCCTTTTGTGCAACATAAAGGTTACTCTAATAAGTCATATCTTCTATGCTTTTATCTAAAAGCTTACCAAAAACATCTAAACGGTTTCATATTCTCTAAAATGAACTTCTTTCCAACTACAAACAGCTTTTGTATATATAGGAATGTATGTGTGTTTTTTTAATTTACTTCAATTTCTTTTTGGACATTCGGGTTCTATGTAGTTATCAGACTTTTGATCTTGGTGTTGATTAGGTTCCTGGATTTGTCGTTCGTTAGATTATTCATCAGGAACTAATTTACGGTCTTCATTATTTACCTCTTCTTCTTGATTTATTGGTAAATCTAGTTCAGTAGTAGAAATACCCAGCTCATTATTGACATCTGATTCAACATCAGTATCTTCTGCATTATCTATTGGAAGCAAAAAGTCATCAAAATCATAATTTTAAGTTCTAACAATTCGGCATCAGTTAAACCCTTTTTTCCGCCATTCCCCAGGAGTCCTGGAACCTTCGTAGTAGAAGCTCTTTGAGACTAAACCGATCATTACTGAAGAATACTCCAATCATAGGTCGGGTCTTACAGGCAAAGTGAGTGAACCCTGTCTTGCATTCGTTTCCTTCGCCGCTGTATGTTCCAATATCCATGCCAAGTTAACCCTACTGGTCGGCGCAATACCAACATTAAGTATTAGCTTAGAGCTAACTTTGGCTGCTTGCAAAGCTATTAGCGCTGCTTGACTATCAGAGCAGATAGAGATGGTTCTGTCTGAGTAGTTCCTATCTATTATTTTCTGAGCACATCAGAAGGCATCAAAAGCCTGATCAGATTAAAATCCGATTCCGCTGCCATATACTCCAGTACCTTTTCACTCGTTCCATTCTGGATCCATCCGTGAACCAAGTGAACCCACTTCGATGAGTCAGTGGAGGGTCTCGTTCCATCCACTCATCCTGGCCAACAATCGATGGCCTGTCTCCAAATGTCACAATGGCCCATCTACTCATTCATTCCCAACCAGTGCAATAATTGAGACGATAGGCTGCTATCATGACTTCGTACTCTACAATAATATTCCCAGATTTGACGTCAGTCAGCTGATGTCCTTCATGTTTTAAATATTCGGGAGCTTTGTTTACTCTATATTTTAACTCAATTTAACTCAATCAAGTGCAATTTTTTTATTTTTATAACTTTTTCTTTGGTTTATTTTTCATCAACACACCAGAATGTTTTTTTTTACGTTATTATGCTTTATCGATCTTTATCTTTTTTACTTTTGAGATAATCACCCAGAAATTAAAGAAAAGAGTTTTTTTATTTTAAAAATTTTGTTGTAGAAAAAGTTTTTTAATACTGGCGATTGTGATTCCAGAATGACTTTTTTATCAACAAAACAACCATTTGCCCCATTTTGTTTATTTATAATACTTTGTATTGAATTATATCTTATACATTACTGTAATTGCAGACAAAACCATCTATAAGTACGTCTTATACCCTTTGTAAAGCGACGGTACACCAGACAAGCATATATCATGACAAAGGTATTAAATCACAACAAGAACAAAAGGGAGAGCACCCTTTTTATTCCTCTGTATAATTGAGCATATCCACTTCACCTTGTTTTCTGCCCTCTATTTTCGATGTTTTCGCTCTGCAGTTGGCATTTTTATTTATTAATGAGTGACTTTAATGAGGCTATTTATTAAATTATTGTTGTAAAGTCGTATTGATTAAAGTTGTTGATGTTAGATGCACTTCCAATAATTTAATAAAAACTAAGCTAATGGTTTTTACTATTAAGTACTAAGCTAAGTATTTTAATACGACTTTAAAATCAACCATGGAACACCTAGTATGACGATTATTCAGTGAGTGACTATATTAACGTTTATTATACCTACTACTCAAAAAAGAGTAGATATATAAATTAATACAAACAGAAGACAAATTTTTCAAAGCGTGTTCTACATAAACATAGTATTAAAATAACAATGTTTTTCTTTTACGTTAAATGTTTAGCCTATATTTATGTATAAAAAATAATTCCGAAATTATATGTAAATACACTTTGGTTGGGCGTTTAACGACAAATCATGACAACTTAATATCAGATAAGACAGGTAGAATATTTTGTATTTGTATTAAATATTGTAATAAATATAAATGTAATAAATTTTGTATTAAATAATGTTATTAACTAAATAGTACATCTGAGGGTGAAACAGATGTTTTTCAGAAAATCAATGAAATGAAAAGAGTTTTTCACAAAGGATGAGGCGTTTTCGGCTAATGGTTGTAAAAATCAAGAAATATGTTTTAGCCAATTTCTGAGTGGGGCAGTTATATGCACTGACGATGGATCTTGAGGGAACATTGGGCTTATGGATTTTTATTAAGTCGTATATCTTTGGAATTCGGAATGATTTTTCTCCGGGTATAAAAGATTTTTCTTTGAACTTTGAATTGCAGAATATCTACAAGCATACGTTTGGTGGTAAAGATATTACCACTATAATTAAGCGAAAACGCCTGCAGTGGGCAGAACATGTAGCTAAGGCCCCTGAATCGAACATGATACAAAGATTCTAACAGCAGAACTCGTGGGAATGAGAAGACATGGTAGACCAAAGCTGAGGTGGATGGACGGGGTAACACAAGATGCCGAGAAGATCGGAGTCGGCAACTGCAAAATGCAAGCAAGGGACAAAACATAATGGCGTAGAAACCCTCTAAAGGGCTGTAGCACCAAGATGATGATGATGATAAAAGATTTTTCGCTGTCTGGAGGTAGAGTAGTCGTTTTTTCTAGATATGTGGTAGGATCGTTTGGGACGCGTTTGTATTCTGGAATTAAGAAATTCGAACATTTTGTCGAAATAATTAGAAGAGTTGAGAATGACGGTGACATTAGCTTTGTCGGCTGGAAGGATATCAATGTCAGTGTTTGTTATAAAGTTCTTTGAGGGGACGTCTTTCTGGAAGACTGATATTTGACGATGGGGTTATGGAAGTATGGAGAATTCTGGCGACATCTTATCTAGCAACTTTGACCTGGTCGGAAGGAAGATGAGAAAAATAGCTTCTTCAGTTTGACAAATAATTTTCTTAGTTGTGATGGAAAAAAGAGTGACAGAAAAATTAAAGCCTTTTGACAGAGCTTTGATAGCTGAATCGGATATGTGAATATCTGAGAAATTGCGAAAAACAGTAGAAGGTTGTTGATTTAAAATGGGCTGTGGACTTTGCTGAGAGATAAGTAGGTCCAGTTTGCATTTCTGGGTTTGGGTTTTGTTGTCAGAAATATGTTGTTATTCTTGGTAAGAAAGACGATCAAAAGTGTCCCATAATAATGAATGGATATAGAAAGAGTGGATGTCGTTGTAGGTTTTGAAAAGTTGGGAATTTTTTGTATCTAAGTTGCGTCGGATGGAATGAATTGAATTTCCAGTTGCTCTAAGAATTTTGGAAATTGATGAAGATTTAGTTTGATGGTTAATTCGGCGAGATTTTGGTATGGCTTGATGGTCACGAACGATTTAAGGAAAGCAAGGTCACAGAGATGACGGTATTTGCGTGTAAGAAGATTAGAAAATGATTTAGTAAGAATGAAAAATTCCTCCCCGTAGAGGCGAATAAAATGTTCGGATAAATTTCCACAGTTAGGTAAATGAAAATTACTAAGTTCTTGGAAAAACTACGTTAAGAATTTAATACTCAACGTTTCGGCACTCATTTTGGAGCCATTATCAAGAGTGATTGAAAACATCTGTTTTTTGGGTTCTGTTAGATTCAATAATTTTTGGTTTATTTAAGAATTTTAAATGTCATTACTTTTGTCAGCAAGTTAAATGAGAATAATGGCCCTCTAGTAACCATACCGTTGCAAAACCCATATTGTGTATCACTAATATTTAGCTCCAGTTTAGAGTGAATTCTGGCGTGGACAATTTTTAACAGAATTTTCAAGTTATGTTTCGATAGTCATTGCACTCTTTGGCATTCACTTTCTTTGGCAAACACACAAATGCTGATGTCAACATTTCTCTAGGGATGATTCCCGTGGTATATAGTTCATCTAATTTACTTACCGATGCACGTCATTATCATTGACAGAGATCGAAGTTGACACAGTTGCCCGAAGTAAAAAAAGGTCCTGACTCCATTTTAAATTAAATAGGTCACATAATTATTGCAAAAGTATTACCATCTCTTTACAACGACTATTTAAATTCTTACGTGACATTTTTGAAA